AAATAATTAATTAGATGATTAAGAGGCTAATTAAGTATGAGAACTTCTCATAAACTTTTGTTTCAATCTTCAAGTAGCCTTCTCAAAGTATTTATTTCTAGTTCAGACTATAAAAATTTTCTCAAGAATGAGCATGTATTTTAATTTATGTGATAAAGTAAAAGAAGATGAAATTATTTGGATACAACACACATAGATATATAATTTTAAACTATAGTATAAAAAGTTTATACTAAAGTTTAGATATTAATAATTAGTGAAATTGATATCTATATTATATTATACATTATCCTGTAATTATAATTATAATCAAACAAATATGTACACTTAAAATTAATGTATGATATAAATAATTACCATAGTTTGATATATCTATATTATACTAAACTTTATATCTATAGTGTATTATACATAAAAGAAGAATGCATATTAAAATATAATTTAGTATATCTATATGTAACTATACTATAATATATTTCATAAACTATACTATAACTTTGAATTGTACATTTGTTATAACTCAAAGCATATTGTTATGGACGAAGATTAGCATGCAAAGCCCACTATGGGCTTAAATGTTTGCACAGCTTTAATGTCTAATAACACATACTAAATGCAATAGGAGTTACATTTTGTTATTAGTCTTTATGTGTCATTCAGTTATTTTGAAATGGTATCTAAGAGTCACTTTTTATGGTTCAAAAGTCAATAATGAATTCTGATAGTCTTCATTCGTAGTTATACATATTCTAAGCATATGATTAAAAAAAGTAGATAGTATATATAATCTTTAGAAAAAATTATTATTTCACTCGCTTTTAATTCTTTTTTTCCCTTTCACAATCTGCAAATGTTGAGAAATTTTGATATAGTACATATCAGGTTTATATAATTCTACCTTTTCTTGATCCATCATGATAAATATTAGTCGACTTTATTTTGTCACTTAATTTAATCTCATGTGATTTTTAGGTGCTTTAGGGAAATTTTTAGGATCTGTAACCGAAAACTTCATTACCACCTCCAAATCCACATCCGCTGCCTTGAACAAATTATCTGCCTCTACTTCCTTCGTTAGACCTACCATCTTCACCGAACCAACCACAATTGCCCATCGAACCCAGCTCCTTCGCCTCCTCTGATATCATCTTTGGCCCCTACTATTGAAATCACCAAGCTCGCTACAACCACCTTCACCAAATTCACCTTACCGCTAATGTCGAGCTCGCCTCAATGGTAGAAGCAGGTCTTTTAGTATTTGAACTCCCTGTCTTCCTTCAATTTCCTTGCATTGGCAAAGCAAAGAAGAGTAGCAGAGGGGAAAAAAGTAGAACTTGGACACTTTAATCATTTGATTTGACCAAGTATTTGTTATGTGAAGAGTGGGAGGGGATACATGAGAAGGAGATCATATAGGGAGTGAAATGAAACAAATGAAAGATGGATGTGTTTGTGATAATTTGTTGGAGGTATGAAGAGGAGCTCACTTGTCAAAGGTGTTACACGAAAAGAAGCTTTCCAAATTGTTAATTCTCACTTGTCAAAGGTGTTAATGCACGGAAAGAAGCTTTCCAAATAGTTCACACTTATGAATGAACTAGGTATGTGCTAAAACTAACCTGTCCCAGGTCCAATAAGTTGCATAAATTTGAGGTGAAGTGCACAACATATGTTCAAGAACTGTATCACGAGTTTTTTTGAACTAAAACATGTGTGATGTAATTGAGTACACGTCTGAATAAATGTATGTATATATCCAAGAAGCGTCCAAGGAGTGTCGAACACAGACATGGACATGGACATGTGAGCCTAAATGAAGTTTCAGGGTAACTTAGGTTGGCGTTGATGCCTTTTTAGCAACAGCCTGTCCATGGCGGTGGATTAAGGGACTATTATTGATTTGGTTGATAATGATAGACAACCTAGTCATGTGACTGGTCTGTTCATTAATTGATTAGTTTTCTCAGTCTTTTTTCCCGCTATTTTACCATGGTTAATGCGTTTGAACAATTATATTCCCCAGAAAAAGATGCACAGACCCCACGATTGTGGTGAATGAAATTACTTTCCCATTAATTGTGTCTTAAGTCCGCAAACATTTTCCGCGGAGTAAGTTTATTTTAGCATCTTTGATACTTTTGATTATAAATGTTTATTTTAGCATCTTTGATACTTTTGATTATAAATCCTTCCATCATTCAGTCACATTACAAACTACACTTGCCACTTGGTTTGGGATTTCATGATGGAGGTTATTGATTGTTAATCTAGTCCATGACATCTCTACTTGAACTATAATGCAATATTTATGAGGTTTTGAATTCGTGGTATGTTAACAATCAGTATTGCTAAAATTGGCAATAGGATAAGTAAAATAGCATAAGCAACTACTATTTGAAATAGTAAACTCTTTCAATATATTTTTTCTTTTAATTAATCTTTCTAATAACTTATGTGTTTTTTTTTTTGAGAATAGAATAGTATAGTTAGAGTTTGGAGGTGACCTCACCATTATTTAATGTAGTTAGGGTAGATTGTTGTATATTTTGACAGATATGAGTTTGTGGTTCACTTTATAGATATTAATAGACAAGTTTGTCATTACTTGTTGAGTTGTTGTACAGAAGGGAATGAATAAGATTCTTTATCACTATTGGCGGAAAAGAATAGAGGATATCCAAGTAATGTAGAAAACACAAGGGGGGGGGTATGCGTCTGCGCACGCTCAGTGTTTTAAATGTTGGCAACCATGTCGGACATGTCGGATGATACGGTGGATTTAGGTATGTCGGACATGTCGGCTTACATGGTGGATTTAGGGGCCAACCGATACGATATATAGCTTTTCAATGCATATTGCGTTTTTAGGGGTCATGTTAGATATATTAGGGCACATGTCGGATATGTCGGCTGAATATATTGGGGGACATGTCCGCTATGTCGGTTGATTTTTCAGTCTGAGAAATTAGCTTATTTTTTGTTATGTTTATCTAATTTGGATTGGGTTTAAATACCCGAAGACAAAACCTGGTCAAGTAGGGGGAAAAGTGCTGAAGTCATTTCCGTCACTCCTCTTTTCTGTCTCCTTCAACATTTCATCGGTCTATTCTACGAGCTGTTCTTTTGACATCAATATCGGGCAATCTTCTCTCTTCTTAGCCGCCAACATTGGGCTTCTTTTTTTTCACCTCTTTCCTTCAACATCAACTCTAAGCATCATAAGTTACTTTTTTTATATATTTAGACAATAGAATTCATTATCTTTAGATTTTATTTATGATATTATATTACACATATGCACACCATCCGATATGAAAATCCGATATTTTTTATGTCCCTCGACATGTGGGCGATTTCTGCTATCTGACATGAATTTTAGCCGTGCGACATGAACTCGACATCCGACATTTAAAACCTTGTGCGTGCTTACATGTGTTGTGCGTGTATGTAAATAAATTCCTTATTACTTGTTATACATAATTGCAGTGTTTTCAAAGGCGTGCGCCTCATGCGCCTTACGATGCGGGGCGGTGGCGAAACGCCTCATATTTGATGCAACAACACCTTTTGCGCCTCGCGTACATCCTTACTTTGTGCAGGGTGCATGTAGTACATATCCTCATATAGTTTTGTTTGATAACATTTCAATCGAGTCTTTATACTTGATATTTCATATCCCAAAAAGCAAAATAAATCCATTAGGCCTTTTTAATAGCCTTCAATTGAGGACCATTACTAATCCTTTGTTTGGATATTAGTCTTGATTTAACATTTGATTTGAAAATTTATGAATTTTGCTACTATGTTGGGTGTTAGCATTAGAAATTAAGGCATTATATTGTGATTTTGTAGTAAGTTATTATTTATCATGATATTTTTTCATGTAAATTCTAAATATATGTTCTTTCACGCTTGATTACATATATTGAATAATTATGTGCGGTGTGCGCCTCGCATCACTCGGACGCGCGCATCGCGTTGTGCCTTGTGCATGCACGTAAAAATGCTTTGCGCCCCGCATTGCACCTCGCGCATTGACAACAATGCATAATTGTATAAACAAGATTCTTTATCACTATTGGTGTAGATATCCAACCAATGTGGAACACACACAACACAGAGATAAACTTGTGTGTGCCCATGGGGGCGTGGATGCTTTGGGGGGACGGGGGGGTATGCGTGTGCGGAACTTATCAAACTAATATGGAAGTATCTTTTGAAAAGTATCTCTAAAAGAAGAAAAGTTTAATTTGTCATATATTGTAAATATATTAGAAGAATTTCTTAATTAAAAGTATGCTATGAATCTATGATAACGCAAGATGTTATAGTCTTGGGGTATGCATAGGGAGTTTTTTCAAAATTTGACATGCCACATCCCTTGCGGAAGTCTGTTCAAAGTGAATTCATATTCCCCATGTAAAATTGTCTTATTTGAGATGGAAGTATATTGTAGTTCATTTAAAAGAAGAAAACTTCAAAGTTTGTTCAAAGTTGAGTTCATATTCCCCATGTAAATTTGTCTTATTTGAGATGAAATGAGTCTTTTCACTAACTTGATATGTTACATCTCATGCAAAAGTGTGTTTGGATTTGAATGCATATTCCCTGTGACAATTTATGGTATTTGAGATGAAAAATGTCAATTTGATGTTATAAAATTATAGTTTATGAAAATTTATTATTTTGGGGGACTCAGGTGAGGCAAAGATAAACTGTTTGACAATAATAAGAAGTACCTATTGCATGTTATGGCATTTGACAACTTATAGAGATATTACCTGGAATTATGGTCCTTGAAGTGCTTTTTTTTTCCTGCTTTCTGACTCAAGTCTAATTTCTGTAATATGGGTACATAAACACAGAGTCATATGTACTTAGGAACTTTACAGCCTTCAAAATATTCTTTTACTAATATTTTTTTTGTTTTCCCAGTTCACCATATATTCTCTGTTTTTTCATATATCAGGCGAACTTTTTTTTTGTTTTTTATTTTTTAGGACTTGCCAAACGCTAGATTTTGCTCAAAATATTTCAAAAGATGTGGGGATTTTCCTGAAGGTTTTAGAGCAGTTCATGTTGACTGGAATGATCTTGACAGGTGTAGCGTATGCAATAATGATGAGGTAAAACTATTATGCTGCGTCTTTCATTTATCATGTTTTGAGTTTTAAAGTTCTTTATTAAATATCTTGTCACATCATGGTTCTTATCCAGCATTGAGATTAACTTTTGTCTACTCTTTCGTGATAACCACTATCTGATTTACTTATGTATGGGACTACTTGGTTATATCATAGCTTCTCATGAGTTGATTAAATTTGTGCTGATGTTTGTCCATTTTGTAGGAGTATGAAGATAATCTGTTCTTGCAGTGTGATAAATGTCGCATGATGGTTGGTTCTTCATTCTATAATGGTTTGAAGCTAGTGATTCCATTGCCAGCTAGTTGAGTAACTTGTAGTGTTTGAAAAATCCTTTTCAGGTCCATGCTAGATGCTATGGTGAATTAGAGTCTTTAGATGGAGTTCTTTGGTTCTGCAACTTATGTCGTCCTGGGGCACCCAAATCACCTCCACGATGCTGCCTTTGTCCTGTTACAGGTATTTTTACATTCATCTAAACTTCAGTCTTCATATATGAATAGGGTATGTTAAAAGTTATAATTCTTTCAGGTGGTGCACTAAAACCTACCACTGATGGGCGTTGGGCACATCTGGCATGTGCTATATGGATTCCTGGTTTGTAAAATGTTCTCGTTAGTTTTCAATTTATAATTCTTGTGTAGGAGGTGATATAGTCAAAGAAGGTTCAGTTCTTATCTAACAAAAGGGTTTTGGCAGAAACTTGCTTGGTGGATGTGAAGAGAATGGAGCCTATTGACGGGCTGGCCAGAATTAATAAGGTCTATTTCTTAGTCTTGTGTTGTGTGTTTGTGTATTGCTTAAAGCATTTATAACATTTTGTTTTACATAACATGTGCAGGATCGATGGAAGCTTTTATGTAGCATTTGTACTGTTGGTTATGGAGCCTGCATTCAGGTGAAGTGAACATTTTCTACTATATTATTTTTGAGTTCCTTCTCGTGTTTATAGCCTTTATTGTCTGAGAAAGGTCTCCCATTTTAAGGAGTTTACAATTTAAATAGTATTGGATGGTAATATCTTTCCTTCACCTACTCACTTTTCCATTCACGAGCATGTCACATTTTAATGATCTCTTATAAGCTTTTATTCTACTATACAGATATCATTTTCACCATAAATATAGAAAAGGTAAGGCACTTGTTTCAAATATTTTCATATACTATTGTCTTATAGCATTGCTTAAAGATTCTGACAGCTCGAGTTACAAAGATGCTATGATGTTTTTCTTCTCTCATGGCAATATGGTCTAGTCTAAGGGATTCTAGAAGGTTCTTATGTTTCATTTACTTAAGTATATCATGACAGACAGCACTTCCTACCCTGCATAAGGTCTTTTATGATTTATGAGAAGCCTCTTTGTCAGTTGCCAACTAGATTAACATTGTATTGATGATGGTTAAAGATCTGGTCAAATCCTTATGTGGAGCTTTCTCAGCCTCCAGTTTGTCACGTAGGGCCCCTTCTATTATAAGGAACACTTGCGATGATGATTTGACTTGATGTGCCTACCACTTGGCCATCTGTGATCTCAAAACCATGATGCATTTTTGGTTGAAAAACATAATGAACAGCATAAACACCCTCTTTTCTTGACAATCAATAACTGGGTCACTCCTCCAGACTATTTGGTTATGAAGCGGTAAGGATGGAGATATCTCCCTACCTTTGTAAAAATTATACAATTTCTCTTAAATGTTACAACTAGGATTCGAGCATGAAATTTATTGTGATTCTTATCCTGCGAGCTAAGTTGCACTAGTACAGGTAGGGGTGTGGGTACTGATACTGGTACGAGACATGACAAATTTGTAAAAGGTTGGGTACTGGCACATGGCTAAAACTCATGGGATATAATCATAGTTCTAAGCTACATATGTAAATGACCCTTTTAAATCGTAGTTCTTAAGGCTGAAATGAACGAGAACCTTATCCAACAAGTTACAAAAATGGATGTAAAATGTAGGACATATATCTAACAAGTGTATAACGAGTGTTTTAAATTAAACATGTATTGTATAATTAAGTATTGGTCTGAATAAATATATACATATATTTATCGAGTGCCCAAGAAGTATTGGGTATGGGTACGATGCTTGTCGGGTGCGGGTGCAGCTCCATATTAAAAGTACCCAGGTAACTGCGAGTCATATATATCCTGAAGGAGCTGTATGTGTATTGTATGTAACAAGATACAAGTTGCTAGTCTACATTCAACCTCTCTATGTCACTCCTGTGTGTGTGTGAAACTCTGGTGATAAGCACTACCTCATGTAACTTTAAATATTTGTGCTGCACTGAAATTTAAAAATTTCTTTCATACAGTGTTCACATTGTACCTGTCGTGTGGCATATCATCCTCTTTGTGCACGGGCAGAAGGTCTTTGTGTTGAGGTATCTCATTTTCATCTTTACCTTATGATCTTACTTTCCATTTGTATCTTATTCCCAGTATTCTGCTTTATCCAGTCAGTGTTGGCTTTCAAATTACTCTTGCATTTTTGGCATGTATTTTGTGATTCACTCTGTTAAATGTTTTATTTCATTTTATCCTTAGACTATCTTGTAGACTTTTCGTTCCACTTTGGATTTTTTAAGTCTGGGAATGTAGATGGCTCATGGATCCTCCTTGGTTCTTTGATATTCCAACCACTTTAGCTGCTGGAGATTTTATGGCTCATGCTTAATAAAGACCCAAAACTGCATGACCAACCAAGCTAGGTCTGCCAAATTACCAACTCATTGAGTTGCTTAGAAGGTTTTCTTATTGGGAGGTAGGGAGGGAGGGAGGTCTTTACTTCTTTTTCCGATGGTAAAGAAAGTGATGTCAATGATGATGATTATAGCAATATGGCCATACTGGCTACATGGTGATCATTGTGCATTATACTTTTTTTGCATGTGTAGCTTGAAGGTGAAGACGGAACCCATTTGATGTCATTTGAAGAGGACGGACAGTGCATTCGGCTACTATCCTTCTGCAAGAAACACAGGCAGACTGGTAATGATGGGAAGCAGGTTGATGAAAATGTGGTCTTGCTTGATCAGTGTGCTTCCAAATATGTCCCTGCGTCAAATACATCTGGCTGTGCCAGAACTGGTAGGCATATGTAACCTTATATTATTTATAACACATGTATGGCATAACAAGGCCAGACTTTTGTTCCTTATATTGACAAATTTATTGGAAGGTAAAAACTTAATATTGATGAACATTCTATCAAAAGCATTTCTAGTATAAGTTACATTTATAGGTGATATTCCAGAGAATCACAAAATTTGTTAGATGCTTTTATATTTTCCATCACTTCTCAATTTTAAACTATATTTTTTCTTTTTTGCCCTTTTTTTAATAGAACCTTATAATTTATTTGGGAGAAGAGGAAGGAAAGAACCCCAAGTCCTTGCTGCTGCATCGGTGAAGCGATTATTTGTAGAGAATATGCCTCACCTGGTCCGTGATTATTATCAAAATGGAGTCAACCTTGGTTTTCATGGTGATGAATCTCAACTTCTTCTACTGCCTGGTGCTTCAAAAGGTGGAATTCAGCATGTTGCTTCTGCAAATATTTCTTCAATGGCTGAAAAGTACCACAATATGAAGATAACCTTCAGGAAAAGATTGGCATTTGGTCAGCAATCCATTCATTAAAAAGCAGCTTTGATATATACTGTTCAATTGGATCAGTCATATATGTTTTTTTACATTTTCCCTGGCATAGCTTGTTAATGATAGTTTTTTCACAGTAAGGGTTAAGGGGTCTATGTGCTTCAAAATTGATGAATGATTCAGCACTCTCTTCTTAGTTCTTACAACTGAGTTATATCATCAGGTTTGAACAATTTATAAATCATATATGATATAATATTGTAGGGAAGAATTTTGGTTTTTGATCTTATAGAGGCTGTATAACTATAAGGTGGCCACTATGGCAACAGTCATTATTCAGATTATCAAATATGAGTCTGAATCTTCCACATTATTAATTTTTAAAGAGGGGAATGATTTCTTGTACAAGTCAAAACACCACATCTACATCCATTGCTGTTTTGCCAGTGGCCTGCCTTAGCAGTAAGTGGTGGAATTACATTAGGACGTCCCAGGTTGCTGTCCTATGGCCTTCGTAAATACACCTCCCTTAATCGGCTAACCATCACCACCAACTTCATTGCTGTTTTTATAAATAGTCAGTAATTTTATGTTATAATCTTTCAAAGCATGTGTCAGTTCCATCAGTGATATGACATTAGTTTGCGTCCATTAGATGAATGTGTTATAAATCTCAAAAAGGTATGATTTTCTATGGACTTATGTGTTTGCAGATCATGATAAGCGATGTAGATAATCTATTGAGGGTGAACCACCGTACAATTTTGTTAATACATATACATGCATGTAGATCATATTTCATTATATATGTATTTATGCATGCATGTATATGTATAGTCTCTGTCTTTGTATATGTCTGTCTATGAGTGTGTTTTCATGTGCCTGGGACCGTGCTGTGTGTGTGCAATGCACACCAACCAAATTGCTGATCCTTTGTTCATCATAATCTCAAAATTTCAAAAACCAATGAATTGCCGATCCTTCGTTCATCATAATCTCAAAATTTTGAACAACAATGAATAAAAGATAATGATTTGACCCCTTCTACCAATGCTCCAGTTTTGTTTTCATGGTTCTGCTTTTGAAATTGTAACTTTTTTTTTGGCTCTACTAGAGTGCTACAGGTGTTTGGCTCAAAGTTATTGAAAACATTTTGTCTTTATCTGGTAAACCTTTTAGTTCAATAACATCGTCAAAGCGTATCCACACAACAGTGGCCAGGACAGGTTACAAGGAATAGAAAGCAATCTATGAAATTTGACCGTTACAGTAGTGTGCCTTTGGCATTATTCTCCTTTGTTCTAAGTTGCTTACATTTTCCATCAAAATGCCTAATGTTTTCCCCCAAATATCCATCTGTTCTTTTATGATCATTCATTTACATTTTTAATTTGATGGATGCAGACATGCTCATATTTTTGGTGATTAATATGGTGTCTGTGTGTGCATACAGTCGCATTGTTATACTCACAATTTTTTCGCAAGTAGATATCCACTCCTTTGGTCATATCATCTTTATTTGACTTTGCAATGGTTGACACTCATGTCTATTTGTAGGAAACTTTGATCTTTATATCATGATTCTCAGAATTATCTTTAGATTGTTAGTGAAAGAAAAGTTGAATGGTTGGTAACATCGCAGAATAAGCAGTGCTAAATTGGTTGGCTTATGAAGTTGCATTTATGTTTTCCTTAGCACCCAATTTGGCTTATGAAGTTGCGTTTATGTTTTCCTTAGCGCGAGTCTTGCTGATCTTAAACTTCTACACATACAGTGCCATGCATATTTCTACACCCACATGAGCGGTTTTTGATTTCATGTCCTAACTGACCCATATATAATTATGTCCCTTTCTTTTAACCTCATGGCCCATATAAAGTGGGAAATAGACTATGGAGTGAGGCTAAGCTTGTCCTTTCTTGAAAAAAAGAAAAAAACATGAACGTGTGAATAGCTAAGCAGAGTATTTACATTTCATCCATTCTCGGCATGATCCTTTTTCTTCATATTTTAGGCGTTCTTTCAAAACTTGTTAATCTACAATGCCGTTATCAAGAATATTTTTGCATTTCATTTCTAAAAAACATAATTTAGTGTTATTTTTTTGGGAGGAGTATTTCAGAATAATGTAGTTTCTATATTGGTCCAATACATATTCTGTCCACTTAATGTCAAATATTTTTATTTTACAATTTTGTAGCTTTGGTGTCTTTGCAAAGCTTCCGCATAAAGCAGGAGACATGGTATGCTTAATGCCAACATCTTAGTTATGGATCTGCTAATGGATGTGTAAATATCCTTGTTTTTTTGGCAGGTTATTGAATATATAGGAGAAGTAGTCAGACCACCTATAGCTGATAAACGGGAGCGTTGTATATACAATTCACTAGTGGTGCGTTCCAATCACATCATTTAATTGGTTAATGCAGTTTAGTTGGCGGGTTTTTTTTCACCTTGTTCAACTATATATGTACCTTTAGTGTCAATTATGTTCCTCATACCACCATTGTATTGCTTGTACTAGAGTAGCTAGCATGATGAATATGTCAACAATTGGATACTTGAGTAGTTCAATCACACATGAACTGTCAAAGATCTTTTTCCTGTTAGTAGTTAAGCTTGCAGTAAACTTTTGGTATGTATTTTGCCCATGCAGAAGGACTCTTGAAGAGGCATATATGACAATATTCTATTCTCCCATTTTTCTGGCAATAGGATAAAGATGAACACTTTGAAAGATAGTCTGTGTTATGAATCTTAAGAAAAAGCTAGGTGTTTAGACTCTCAGTTAGTGCTCCTAAATACCACACATATATTTTTAATTAGAATCTTCAATCTTGTATATGATAGGAAGAAAGACTATGAGATAAACATAAGAAAATCCAACTTGCAAACCCTTAAGTATTGGTATGTTGTTCCAATAGTAAGATGAGAAACTGAACAGGTGAGCTTCTTGTTTATGACACTTGACTGTCCACTAGTTTAATGTGAACAAATTTCTTTGAGAGTGATTCTCGTTGTATCATTCTGTCATCCATGTACTTGTTTCATAAATTTGCTGATGTTATAATGTTCATTTGATGTGCTGCAGTCATTTAGTGCTATGTTTTACTAATTGAGATTATTATTAGAGATAGACTTGGTTATTTCTGAGAGAAATTGGAGGCAAATCCTTCCCATTCAAATTCAATTTTGTCAATTCATATGAAGCATTCATTCCTTTAAGTTGATCTACCTCATGTAAAGTATCTAAAAAACCAAGTTTTGGTTTGTTACCTTTCCAAGTCTATTTATAATTCATAGTGCTGGTGCTGCTTTCAGACATTTTTAATGTTCCTATCATCTCTTGTGATGCTCTTGGCCATATGTGCCCTGTACAGGGTGCTGGAACATATATGTTTCGTCTAGATTCGGAGCGTGTCATTGATGCTACTAAAGCTGGAAGCATAGCTCATTTAATTAACCACTCATGTGAAGTAAGAAATCCTAAATGTGCCCTATTGTTTGATCATTTATCTGTTATTCTCATCTTGTCATGATATATGACTTCAATTGTGACAGTTAGTGACATTATTAATCACATCAGTCTTGTAGTTGTGTATGATTGGACACGCCCTTATATATTAATGCATGTATCGTGCATGATTATATATTGTTTCTAGTTAACATTGACAAAGTGCCCTTAGACACTTTCTCATATGCTTGAATGTGCTTGTTTGCTGATATTGGTAGATAGATGAAACTTAAACTAAAAGAACTTTATTCTTCTTAATATTCATTTCAATTTCAAATTTTCACTTAGGTGGCAAGTGACATGTGTTACTTTTAGCATATTATTAGGAAATACTTACTTCAAAGATCTGGGAAAAGCTTAGTTGTTGATGCTGTTGCAGTTAAGTTTAAGTTTCATGTAATAAGCTAATAATTCATATATAGTACCTAAGGTTTTAAACATCGGATATCGGTGAATATTGGACTGCCAAAATTCATATTGGATTGCGGATATCAAGGATATATGGTAAATATCGGAATGCTATATTGGGTGATGTGCATATATAACGTCCTAAAATGTAATCTAAACGTATTTAACAAAATCTAAGCATAATTTTTTTAAATAATGTGTTTAGGATCACTAATTAACCTTTTAAAACAAATGTAAGTCCAAATTAATGTTGCAACCTTTTGATTGATTATGATGCTGAAGTGTCACTTGATATATTAGGAAAATCATAAAATGTCACCCAAATATATTATTTTGCAGCGAGCCATATAAAAGAACATATTGGTCAACATAAGGTTGATATATTAGCCAGGTCGGGGATATATCCCCAAAAATAGCCAAAAAGTGGTAAATGATATATAGACTATATAGTTTTGCGGCAAGGCTTATAGAAGGATATATTGGCTAATATATCAGGCCATGCTAGCGATATTTTAAACAATGGTAGTACCTGTATCATATTATTAAAAACTACATTTATGGTTTTTTTTCTCGGTGTGGGGAAAGTGATGTAGTGAAAGCGTAGTCAAAAGAAATAACTACTCGTTCTCGTACGAGCAAAACAACACGAACCCTAGAAATCCCAGGAATAAAAAACTTCTGAAAATAATAATAATCAATCTAAAGAGTTCACAAATTCGTTCTCCTTATATAGGGTGTAAAACAAAGTGCTAAAATAACCTTTTCTAAAACAATAAAAAACGTTCCATAAAAAACTAGAAACTAAATTAAATGAAAACTCTTCGAAGCGCAGTTTGAGACTGAAGACGAATTTCTTTGGCCCTGAATCTCAGTTGGAACGGCGAAGCGGTTCGACTTGTAGAGTACTTCCCGAGCTTTCAAAATACATATAATAATGGTGATTTTATGAAGGGAATCAAAAGTTACGGTCCGTTGAAGTTGTACGTTGAAATCTGGCCGAAAATTATCCTATTTATTTAGATCGTTCGAGCTTCACACGATCCGATTTTTCCCAAAAAGCATTAACAATATCCTCCACATCACACTCTTGACTCCATTTGAGATTGTCTACCAACGCAAACCTGCCCACACTGTTGACTTATTAAAATTTCCTAAGGATCAAGGTTATAGCGTTGCGGTTGAGCATATTCAGGGCATTCAATCTAAAGTATAGCAGAAGCTTGAGGGAATGCTAAGTACAAATTTCATGGTGATCAACATCGTCGCCAGAAGCTGTTTGATATCTGTGATCAAGTCATGGTACACCTGCTCAAAAAATGATTCCCTATAGACACATACCGCAAGCTCAAGATGAAAAAAGTGGCCTATGTTGTATACTATCGTGGCTCAATGATAACGCTTATGTTGTGGAGTTATTTAGTGATTTCGCCAATATTTCTTTGACCTTCAATGTTGCTATAACATAGTTTCATCCTGACGTGCCACTTTATCTTCAGCCAAACGGGGTCAAGTTTTTTTTTGAGGGAAGAGTGATGCGGATGACATTGCTAATGCCTTTTAGAGAAATCGGATCGTGCGAAGCTCGAAGGATCTAAGAAACGAGGATGATTTTCGGCTAGATTTTGACGTGCAACTTCAACGGATCATAACATTTGATTCATTTCGTAGAATTGCTATTAGTATATGTTTTCGGAAAGCTCAGAAAGTGCTCTACAAGTCGAACAACCTTGTCGTTCCAATCGAGTTTTAAGGTCAAAGGAATTCGTCTTCAGGCTCAAACTGCGTGTTGAAGAGTTTCGGTTCAGTTTAGTTTCTAGTTTTTTATGGAACATTTTTTTTATTTAGGAAGTCTAATTGTTTTAGGAAAGGTTATTTTAGTACATTTACTTTCTTTTACACCCTATACAAGGGGAACAAATTTGTGACCTCTTTAGATTGATTATTATTAATTTCAGAAGTTTTCTATTCCTAGGGTTTGTGTCATTTTGCTCGTACGAGAACGAATAGTTATTTCTTTTGATTAAGCTTCCGCTATATCAGAAAGGCTGACTATTTGATGTAGCTATTGTTTAGTTGATCTAATTAGTGTATTCACATGGAGGTTTCATATGGTTATAGTCAAGTCTTATAATCCAAAAACTAATAAAGATATTTAAATAGTTGACTAGTTTATAGAATAATAAGATGAGAATGTTACTTCATACAATTGACTGCTAGGTAGTTTATCCTCTAAATGTATAACATGAATAAATACTTCATATCATTGACTAGCTAGAGAGTTTACCTTCTAAATATAGTCATCTCTGATGAACTTTTACATACCTCAGATCATATAAAATACCTATATGTCTTGTCTTTATAGTTGCAACTTGCAAGTAGCTTATCTCAGACATCAAAAGAACCAAACGGAAGCATAGGACTTCAGCTTGCACGAAAGTCTCCTCTGCCCACATAACATGTAACATATAATGTTACACTGTAAATCTTTGGAAGATGACTAGTTCTTGAAATATGTTACACTGAAATCTTTTGATCGTAGTGATGACTTTACTTGGAACCAGATTTGTAGCAGATGCTTGGTCGCTCTGCAGACACCAGACCGACCACTTAGCAACCAGCTGCTTTTAAACAGTTCACTTCTTTAATATTTTTTTCTTTAGTATAAAAATAGACGAATATTCAAGAAGAATTATTAAAGTCCTGGTAATCTAGGAAAGTTGGTGATATGTGGGGAAAAAATTGGTCGGAGAAAGGAAGAACTAACAAATGGAAGAGTCTAGAATGAAAAAAAAAACTTTACTTGCCCGTGGGGGATGGAGGGACAACTCTGCTTACTCATGTTAAACTGTGAGGTAGTTGGGGAATTAAAAACTGGATTTAGAGCTTGGCTGAATTTAAGATCTATTCACTCCTGTTAAGACCTTGTTCATACTGACACCAAGTTTCTGACCCATTTTACAGGCAAAATTCTTGCCTACTCAATGAGCACCATCATGCCATACTCCATCTCAATAAAAAGCTGACAAGTGTCACTCCCTATTTCAAGCACTTAAAGACTTCGTGTTTGTTTTACAAAATATCCCCTATACAAACAAGTAAAGTCCTAGAGAACTTTACTCAAGTGAAGACCATGGCTATCCCCCCATGCCCAAAACTCAACCCACGTGATTATTCATTTTCTTCCTTCATTCACTGTCAAAAACCAACTCCTACGTCCCTCCTTCTACCCCAAAACTTTCTGACTATTGCTACATTATTAGCAAATTATCATGAAAAGTTCAATGAAAAGCCAAGTACAATTTTTTTTCTCCAGAAATAACAAATCTAGGAAACTACTTCATGTAAATATTAAAGCACCTAGGTAACACAGACACTTCCTTTTGGGTGCATTGTCCGTGTGCAACATGTGTCCGACACCGACTCTCCACGGACACTTTATGGACACTTGTGATTCAAAGAAATACCCGATTTCCCCGTTACTTGTACCCTAAACTAGTTTCTTTGGTAATATCAGGTTCAAAATCAATTCTTTTTTAACCCAAAAATTGAAATCCATTACTTAAATATTTGAAAAACCCATCGTATTATCCCATGCTATCAAAACTAAACTCATTAAATCTTATTCTTGGTTTGATTTAACTTGATTCTTAATTGTTATAGATAATAGAAAGAAACATATAAATGTTGGTATTTTTGTTCAATATTTGATCATGTGTGTGTATTCTATACGGCGTCCCTATATCCTACATTTTACTAATTTGTTGTGTCCTGTGTCCGTATCTGTGTCTGTGCTACCTAGCAAAGCACACAACAATTTATCTATTTGAACACTTGATGAAGTATGATTATGGATTTCAGATTTAAATATGACTATGCATGAGTTACCAATCTTTACCGAACCAAGAACAAATAGATCTGTATTTACCATTTCCCCCTAAATTAAATTGATTATAATTTATAAAATTCTAAATGAGAGAGAGAGAGGATGCAGGTAATGGGTTTCTGATTTAGGGTTAAAGAAGCTGCTCAAATCAACATCCAATCGCCTGGGTTTCTATTTCAATCGAAATTCTATGATCAGTATGAAGTTTTACTGTATTTATATACCTTTGGTCTCTGATCTAGCTTCTTCTACCTTGCACATAGTAATCCAATAGAAATGCTATTCCCAGAAAACTGCTAGTCTCATCTTTGTTCTTGTATATAACAATCTTTCCAACGGAGATGTGAACATTGGTACATGAAGTTTGAAAGATACAAGAGAATAGCAGGCAAAAATGAAACATGGACTCATTGACTTCCTTGATTTTGTTAAATTTAATGGGTAGGTCATGAGACTTGATCTGATTTTTTTGGCAGGAAATGGATGAAGAAGATAATCACGTGGGTTGATTTTTGGGGTCCTCTGATTTTTTGGTGAAGTTCTCTTGGGATTTGCTTGTTTCTTGGAAGTACTATTATGTATAAGGGGCATTTTGTAAAACCAACACAAAGTCGTAAATGCTTGAGATAGAGAGTGACACTTGTTAACTTTATGTTGAGCTGTAGCATGCCATAATGGTGCTCATTGAGAGGGCAAGAATTTATTATTTAGCAGACAATCTTTGGTAGAAGGGTTCTCCGTACATCTGTTTTTCTTTAATAGTCTCCTCAGGGTTTAGAATGTAGGGTAAGAATTTAGTTTTCAGGAAGCACTCATACATGCAGCATGTCTTAAAAGTCAGGTGAATGTAGCAAATAATTTACGATGTGCATCAAACTGCTATTCTTATTCGGGGAGAAAGAAGAAAATTATAATAAATATTCTCTCATTAATGTGCAGATTTCTTCATTTATTATTCAATTCATGAAGTGTGTATAAAGCTTGCGTATACAACGTATTTCCATGTAGAATGTTATAACAACACTCTTTTCTTCCAGATATTTTCCCCAAAAGAAATATTTCATTTTATAATTGTTTTTCACATATTATTTTGCCATGTGATCCATCTGGCGTCTCTTGATAGTGTTGCTAGCTCTGGAAGAAGCAGCAAGCAAGTAATAGAATAGTGTTTTCTTTATGGTAACCTGTTGTGTAGAGAGATTGCCGACTGGATTAGGTTAAGTTGGAGGTTAGTTATGGTTGTTTAGTAGCCTAATGCATCCCTAAGAACAGCCCTCAACTCGCAGACATGTACATGTACACAGAGAGAAAAAGGTGCATTGTGGTTATTTGTTGCTCATCTTGAAATAGATTTTGGCATTAATGATGAAATGCTTGTTTTTTTTTTCAAACAATTAGCAAGCCTCACAAAAGCATGTTATGAGTTGCTCACATAGGTATAGTTTTTTGTTCATGCTGCCAAACAGTTTCACTATTGCCTATTTATTATCATTAATTAAAGGCCTGTAATTATCTTTTTCCTTGCAGCCTAACTGTTTTTCAAGGATAATCACTGTTAACGATGATCTACATATTATTATATTTGCGAAACGGGACATTAACATAGGGCAAGAATTGACTTATGACTATAGGTTTGCACACTGCTCCTGTCTGTTTTTGCTTTTCTACGTACTCTTCATTCTTACTTTTAATACCTTTTAATGATAAATACCAGATTCTCTTCTGAGGATGAACGACTTGTCTGCTACTGTGGCTCCCAAAGATGTCGTGGAGTTGTTAATGATATTGAATCAGATGAGCAAAAGGCTAAAAGTTTTGTTTCATGATGTGACTTGGTTCCTTGGATGGGAGAATGAGAGCAAAGTAAGATTTTGTCTTTTTATTGATTTAATTAAAGAGCATCCATCTGAAGTATGCAGATAGTTCTGCTTCTCGATGGAGGAATTTGCTCCTGAACTTTCTTCTGTATTAGTGTGAATATGTTGTTGGTTTTGTTAATTGTATTCTGAAGTTGGTATAAAGAATACTTGAGTTTTCAGAAGAATTTTAGCTCGTCAATTTCATTTTTTTTACCTTTGTTAACTTGTACAGAGAGGAATTAGAGGTAAAATGAGAAGAGCTTAGTAGCCTCTTCCCATCTATTTATATTAACATAATGATGGTACAGTTAAGTCCCTAATTGATGTGGGACTAAACGAAAAAGTGACTAAACCCAAAATACTCTTAACACTTCGCCTCAAACTGGAGTGTATACATCATACATACCCAGTTTATCACAAATAAAATCCAATCGTGTTCTACCTAGTGGTTTGGTGAAAATATCAGCTAGCTGGTGTCCTGTTGACACATGTTTTGCTTCAATGATCTTCTCCATGAGTTTTTCACGAATTATATGGCAATCAACTTCAATATGTTTGGTTCTCTCATGAAATACGAGATTTTCAGCAATATGAATTGCCGCCTTATTGTCTCCATATAAGCTCATAGGACACTCAGGAGGGAGTTTAATTTCTGCCAGTAAATCTCTAATCCATATAATCTCTAACTATGTTACATTGGCCATGACCCTATACTCCGACTCTGCACTCGAACGAGACGCTATACTTTGCTTCTTACTCTTCCAGGATATAAAATTTCCTCCAAGAAATACACAATAACATGTGGTCGATCTTCTATTGGAAGGACACCCTGCCCAATCTGCATCAGAAAAACCTGCCACCCTTGTGTGTCTCTGATATGTGTAGAGAAGTCCTCTTCCAAGAGCTTTTTTTAAATATCTCAAAATCCGCATTACGGCATCAAAGTGAGTAGTTCGTGGTGTTGATAGGAATTGGCTTACTAAAATGTGATGTCAGGTCTGGTTATCATGAAGTAGTTTAATGTTCCAACCAATCTCCTGTACCTCCCCACATCTTCAAGGAGCTCCCCTGATTTGGTAGCAGTTTGTGTTCACATCCATTGGAGAGTCAATACTCTTACATCCTAACATTCCAGGTTTTGATAACAAATCAAGTACGTATTTTCTTTGTGACAGAAAACTACCTTTCTTTGATCTGGCCACTTCTATGCCTAGAAAGTACTTAAGAGAATCAAGGTCCTTAGTTTGAAAATGCGTCTGCAGATATTTCTTCAGGCTATCAATACCTTGTGGATCATCTCATCTCCTGTGATCACAATATCATCCACGTACACAATTAGTAATATCCTTTTTCCATCATGCATTCGCCAGAAGACAGAACGATCTTTTTCTGCACGATTGAGGCCAAACTCTCGAAGTACAGAGGCAAAACGACCGAACCAGGCACGAGGAGATTGCTTCAGACCATATAGTGATTTCTTTAATTTGTAGACTTTGTTAGACTCCTCCTGAGCAATAAAACCTGGTGGTTGCTCCATAAAGACTTATTCTTCCAAAATTCCATGAAGAAAAGCGTTTTTAATATCTACCTGATGAAGAGGCCAGTGATAGTTTGCAGCTAAAGAAATGAAAATGCGAACATAAGTTATTTCTGTAACGAGCGAGAAGATATCCACATAGTCCAAGCCATAAACCTGGGAGAAACCCTTAGCCACCAACCGAGCTTTTAGTTTAGCGAGAGATCCATCCGGATTAAGCTTAATAGTATATACCCATTTGCAGCCAATTGTTGTTTTGCCAGGTGGTAGAGTAACTAAATCCCATGTCTTATTTTCAGTAAGGGCAATCATTTCCTCCTGCATTGTCTGAGTCCAACCTGAAATAGATAGAGCTTCTGACACATTTCTGGGAACCGAATATTAGTCTTGAGAAAAAATAAATGTTCGAAAAGAAAAAGAGAGATTAGTGTAAGAAACAAAATTGGAGACTGGATGATTAGTACAAGACCGTTTACCCTTACGAAGAGCAATATGAAGAGCAATATCTGAATCAGGAGTAGGAGCAAGATAACTAGAGCTAAGCACAGGACTTGTTTCCAAGGTTGGCGGTGGCACAGGAGCATGAGTGGGCGACGTGTATAGACCTGTAATGGTTTCTGAAATCTCAGTAGGTTCTTACCAGTATCGTTCAATAGTGGCACAGTACCATTAGGTATGAAGGTATCTTGTAGGAGCAGGTAGTCGTAGTTAGCAATAGATGAAGGGAGAGATGAAGAATGACTAGGTAAGTGTTCAAAGAATGTAACATCGACAGAGATTAGATAGCAGTTGAGATAGGGGCAAAAACATTTGTAACCTTCTTGAGTTCGAGAATAGCCAAAAAAAATGCCTTTGATAGGGCGAGGATCAAGTTTAGTTTTCGTAGGACTGTGATTATGAACAAAGCATAGTGAACCAAAAATTGTTAGGGGTAAAGGGAATAGGTCAGAAGTGGAATATAAAACACTGTATGGAATCTTATTGTGTAATACAGAGGATGACATTCGATTAATTAGATAGCAGGCAGTTAAAACAGCTTCATCCCTAAATTCTTTTGGAACACATCGATGAAATAATAAGGATCGAGCAGTATCAAGAAGATGCCTATTCTCGTGTTCAGCCATCCTATTTTGCTGAGGAGTGTAAACACAAGATGATTGATGTAAAATACGATGATCGACAAGAAAATTGGCAAATGAGGTTTCCAAATATTCTTTTGTGTTATCTAATTTGAGTATTGAGCTGAGTTTTGATTTCTGTGTAAAATATTTTAAAAATAGGAAAAACTTCAGAACAAGATTTCAAAAGATAAATCCATATTACACGTGAAAAATCATCCACAAAGCTAACAAAATATTTAAATCTCATTTTCGAATTTATTGAACATGGACCCTAAACATCAGAATGAACTAAATCAAATGGCTTAATAGCTCGGTTATTGACTCGATTAGGAAATGACACACGATGTTTTCCCAACTGACAAGACTCACAATCTAAAGTGGAAATACTACTTAAGAGGGCATAATCATTTGAGAACAGGTAAAGATGGATGACCAAACTGATAGTGGTAATCAAGTGCAGATAAAATACTGGTACAAGCCACATGATCAGAAGCTAACTCTAGCTCATACAAACCGTTCCGCTCATGTCCTATGCCAATCATTTTCCTCGTTACAAGATCCTGAAATAAACAATGAGTAGGAAACAACGTCACAATACAGTTTAAAAGTTTTGTAATCTAACGGATAAAAGATTGTAAGGAAACCTAGGCAGATAGAAAACATATGACAAAGGAAGTTTAGAAGTAGGAATGGTTTTGTCAATGCCCTTAACTGTTATGCGTGATCCATCAGCTAGAATGACTTGGTTAGCAGCATTAGAGAAAGATGACAAAATATTACGGTTTCTAGTCATATGATCAGTAGCTCTTGAATCTATAATCCAAGGTTTAGACGAAGATGATGTGAGAAGATATGCCTGCACGTGCAAGAGTAGCTGAGAAAGAGGAAGGTTGTGCCTGTGAATTCTGGTATTGCTGAAATAGTTGTAACTGCTCAAATTGACGTTGAAGCTGTTCATCGTTAAAAACAGATGTGAATGGTTGCTCAGTTTCAGTAGATATATCCTGAGATGTCTGAAAAGTCATATAGGCACCAATTTTTGCCAAGTTCCGGGCAGTTGTATTTAATGTGACCAGATTGATGACAGTAATTACAAGTCATAGAAGTATCCCCGTGTGAATGTCCTTGGAAAAAACCTCATCGTTGTCCTTTGTGACCTCGGTTGCCACCGTGACCACCTCTGGTCTCTGAATACCCATAACCTCTACCACGACCAACAAAATGTCCACCACAGCTAGATGGAGACATGCCCTGAGTGGCTAGAGTTGATCGTTCTGAGGTGGCTAATGGAGCTATGGGTGCTACAGGAACAGAACTTTTAAGAAAATGATAGGTTTCTGGAAGTGACCTTACAGCAGAACTACCCATACTCTGGGGCATGGCTGATGAATAAACTGAATCGAGACCACCCAAATATGTGAGTACCATCAAGCGGTTCCATTGATTCTGCATTTGTTAGACGTCAGAAACAAACGTCAGAAGTGATTGGAAAAATTTGTCCCCAGCGAGACGGTTGAACTCTTCATAATAGTCTTCAAAGGATGTACCATCCTGTTTCTTACGGAACAACGCCTAAATCACATCATAGGCTCTGGTGATGTTGCTGCTTCCGCCATAGAGTGATTGTAGAAAAGTCCATAGTTCCTTGACAGTATTGCAATGCAAAACGAGGTCCTACACTTTTGGCTCCATAATAGTAAGGATCTGATGAAGGAGAACATTATCCTCCAATGTCCAAACATCTGTCGGTGGAGTATTAGGGTCAGACAACAAATGACTGGTCTTGCCACGACTAGCCATGTAGATCTCAACAACTCTCTTCCACTGTAAGTAATTGTTGCCATCTAGCTTCCGATTTATAATTTTTCCCGTGAAGATCTCTGAAACTTTTGTCTGGACCAGCGGGTCTGCAAGCTTGTTCTCAGTCGAACTGGTCATCATGAAACAGAAAAATATAATTGAAACCCTCCTTGAGACAGATGTTAAAACAAATAGATACTCAAAACAAATCAAGAGGACATATAGATTCGATTAGGTCTCCAATTCAGAAAAGGAGCCGCGGAAGTGATACCAACCCGAGAGAGAATCAACCCAAGAGAGAGTCTTGGCTTTTGTTTTTTACAAAACTCAAGCCAACCCTTGTTTTCATGTTTCGCGAAGGAAACAAGAACAAAAAGTGAAATATCTTAACAAAGTGAGATATACACTCTTCTCCTCATCAGTTCTAGGACTGATTTGTCGAGGGAACCTATTTTTTTTTTACAGTTCAACCCTAGATCTGGACGAGGGTTAACCGAAGGCGGCGAACGAAGCTAAGACGACGGGCGTTGATGGCGTTGAAGATCTGGACGCTCGTGGTGGCAGAGGATCTAGATCTGAATGAGATCGGATCTAGATCGAGGCGGGATTGGCGTAGCGTCGGTCTTGACGTCGGCTGCGTCTTGATAAAGGAGACGACGCCGGAGGATCGTCGATCGTCAGATTTGGGTCGAAGTGGGATCAGAGGAGCGTCGGATCTGGAAGATTT